CCAGTCCTCCGCTCTCACAGCCTTGGCTGCATGCTGAAAAGGCTGGCCATCTTCAAGGTCCTGCCATTACTGGATGCCTAGGATGGCTTCTCATGCTGGGCTGCTATGGTGGGAAGTTGGAGTCTAGATCAGAGAAGCAGAATCTCCTGAAGGGTAGTCTGTACAGACACACTAGCTGGCAGTTGTGAGACTGGGACCTGAGGGCTACTCTATAGGACAGCGATGTCTCTCACCAACATTGGGTTATTTCAAGTGGTTTGTGCATGCTGGTTTGATGGATGCTGACTCAGGGAGCCATAGTGGAAGGCTGAGGAGTCAGGCTGGGTGTTACCCAAAGCATGTTTCCAGGTCTTATGTGTTTATATAGACTGTGTATGTATACCTATGTATATGTGTGTATGTACATACACATAAACATATATTTATATGCATGTGTACACACACACACACACACACACACACACACACACACACACACACACACTAAACCATAGCCCCAGAATTACTTCTGAACTCTTGGTTAATTTTAGTTGTCAACTTGACACCACCTAGAGTCACCTCGGAGAGTCTCAGTGAGGGACTGTCTACATTTGCTTGACTTGTGAGCTTGTCTGTGGGAATTGTCTTAATTAAGTCAGCTGATACGGAAAACCCCACCCACTGTGGCAGTACCATTTCCTAAGCAGGGCATTCTCCACTGTTTAGGAACAGGTACCTTGAGCTAGGCACTAGCTGTCAAGCAAGCAATTATGCATCTTTTTTTTCTGCTCTTGACCATGGATGTGATATGACTTGATGTTTGAAGTTCCTGCTTTGCCTTCACACAGTGATGGACCGTAGCCTTGAATTGTAAGCTGAAATATCCCCGCTTCTCCCCAGAACTGCTTTTTGTCAGTTTTATCACAGCCACAGAAATGAAACTGGATAAAACTGGTCTAATACTGAGCTCAAATTCCCCAACTCTAATGAATGGGTGAGCTTCGTGTATTCAGTGGAATTTCTGTTTCTGTTTTGATGTGATGGTACCAAATACTACCAGTCACCTTGCCAGCATGAAGTCCTGACTGGCACGCTGGACCTGGCTGATGGATCAAGATGAAAATAAACCTGAGAAATGGGCTCCTGCCATGTGACGTTGTGAATACTGAATGCCTCTGGGTATGTGAGACTTGGCGACTGCAGGTGGAGTGCTTACTGCCGGGCATCTCCACCAGCTCCCTCTGAAGGGCTCTTCCCAAAGTCTTTGTCAGCCTCCCAGTGAACAAGTGTCAGCTCACCTCCCCATCCAGAAGGGCAGCATGTTTTTCCAGGTCTGTTTGCACAGAACAGACCCAGCTCCAAAAATGAGTGACTGTGAAGAGACCCAGTTTGGGTTTTGGTGAAACTGAAGTATTGAGAAAGCAGACAGTCAAAAGAGAACAAACCTTTTCTTCTCCAAAAGGTTTGTCCTCAGGCTCATTTCCATTCCAGGGGACCAAGGAGCCACAACTCACACCTAAGTGTCCTTGACTTCTTCACCCACCCCCTCCTTACGGTATTGCAAGGTCACTCCAGCTCCTGAGGGGATCTTAAACTGGGCAGCATGGCTCTTCAAACTATTCTGTTCCCCCAAGGTTCCTTTCCAGTTAGTTATTTCTATCTGAAGAAATTCTTCCCGGGATTCCCATCATAATTTGGTTAAACAGTTTGGAGGCTGGTGGTGTGGTATGTTGCTGGGCCATTTTAAACCTCATTTAGAAACTCTCTTGCTGTGTGTAAGTTGTCTACTCTGTGGGGTCCTTCTTATTTGATTTGGTGACTCGCGGTGCTGGTCTCCTGTCCAGCTTTCTTTAGTCTACTCAAACATGTGTTACGTTGTATCTCTGAATGTCTTCTGCCCTTTCCTATGTCTCTGCCAGCTTCAGTGGTAGTACCGGGATCATAAAATACTTTCACAGGAGGTTGGAGAGATGGCTGAGGAGTTAAGAGCTCTCCATACTCTTCCAGAGGACTGGCATCCAGTTCACAGCACCTATGGTGGACGGCTGAACAGCCACCTGAAATGCCAGTTCCAGGAGACCAAGGGCCATCTCTGCAGGCACCAGCACCCATGAACACAAACCTGCTTGTTTTGAGAAAGGGCCTCAGGTAGCCTAGGCTAACCTTGAACTCTGTACCTCATAAGTGGTGTGCTACAGGCCTGTGTCACATGCCTGGCTGGGTTATGGGATACCTGGGTGTGAAGTGCGGGATTGTCGAGGTGGGCATCACCTCTGTTTTTGCCACAGCTGGAACATCTGCAGCTGTTTTCACACATTCTTTCTCCATCCTCCTGTTCTGCAGCTCCAGCAGCACAGACTCTTCACTGCTCCATCTCCAAGACTGCTCACATGAACATCTCTTTTCTGTTTGAAGAACTGATGGGTCTCTGCTCACGTCATCACTGACATCCCATTTTACTCCTGAGCCAGTCCTGTGCGGGCATGTTGGTTGGCTCTTTCCTTTAGTGCTAAAAAATGTGTGTGTGTGTGTGTGTGTGTGTGTGTGTGTGTGTGTGTGTGTGTGTGGTGGTGGTGGGAACCTGTTTTCTGCTACCATTTGGCTCCTTCTTATATCTTACCTGTTTCTAAAGTGTTAAGTGGTTGCCAGTTCAGACTTAGATGAGCTGAAGGCTTGTGTCACTGTAACCCTGTGTTTCACCACTGTGTCTTCTTGTTTGAGACAGTGTCTCACCACAGAGCTCTGGCTAGCCTTGGAACTTGCTACACCGCCCAGGCTGGCCTGAGTTTCACCTGCTTCTGCCTTCCAAGTGCTGGCATAAAAGGTGTATCCACCATGCCCAGCCATGATTATTTACTCCAAAGCAAGTTTAGATTTTCCTAGATGCTTGCATGCTAATTTCAAATTGCATCCTGGTCATTTAAAATGTCATGTTATGCAGTTCTGTCTGGTTGGAAACCCACCGGCAATACTGTTTTTGTCTTGGCAGCAGAAATTGCTCTGTAGATTCAACCACAAGTTGAGACTCCTGCTTTAGACCTGGGCCGAAAGGTTTCCAAGTGCTGTGTGACTGTATCTTGTGTCCCTGCCCCTGCGCTCAGGCTGGGATGTAAGGTGTGGAGGTGTCTGGTATGCTGTGTCGGATCATCCCATGTCTGCACAGTCAGGTGGGGTACAGGGAGCTTAGGCATTTGTCCACCGTGCTGTGGGCTTGCATTCCCGGGCCCCTCCCAGATGATATCACCCCAGGGTCTTTCACTTTGTCTGCTGTGAAGCTGCCTGTGTCACATCAGAAGCTAGTGTTGTTAGAGCAGAGGAAGGTTTCGGGTGCAGACTCCAGTTACCAGCTGCTCTTACAGCCACTGAGGGGCCACAGGATCGCCTGCCGCTTAGGACACACCAGAACGGAAGCTAAGGAGTGGAACCCGTACACCCTGGGAGTTTGAGCAAGCTCTCCTTCCCATGTCCCTGGTTGAGAATCTCCTGGAGCTCTCTGTCCACTTCTCTGTGGACTTCTGGAGATGAGGCTTGTGGAGTTCAAAGTGGCCATGCCCAGCAAAAGCAGGTGCACCTCAGCTCGGGCATGTATGGCCTTCTTCCCATGCTGGCCTGCTGTTCTTGACTGGACAGCCCGCTTGAGGGCTGGCCACATATCCTGCTTGGGCTTGGCAACTATGCTCAGGGAGACAGAATGGGTGGCATGTTGGTTCTCTATCTCACCCAGCAGCTCTGGAACTTTCCATAGCTCTAACATTTAATGTACTCATCCTTATAAGACAGCAACTGCTATTAAAGTTCAGGAGTGCCTCAAATCTGTTTTCAATGAGTTCTTTTAGCTTGCTTTAAAAATTGTGGTATTTCTCCCACTTCCCTCCAGCTTCTCCCACATCCCCCAACATGTCTCCTTGCCCAACTCTGTCCTTTTAAAAAACCCATTAGGTCCAGTTAGTGCTGCCCATGTGCAAGATCATCCACTGGGTCATGGGAAACCGACCAGTGGGGACACAATGATTCTCCCTCCCCCAGCAGCTGTCACCTGCCAACAGCTCATTAAGAGATGGAGCCCTGAGAGACCCCCAAACCCCCCTCGCCCCCCCAGCACAAGAGGCCCTATGTCCAGATGACAGCACTTCCCAGCCCTCCTCTTCCCTGAACCTTCAGTGTGTGTTTGGAGATGAAAGTGGGCACCGATAAAGATGTCACATTTAGATTGGAGCACCCAGGCTCTTGTTCTCAGTGCATGGATCAGTTATCTCTTCAGTGATGGCTGCACACATCGGAAAGCAGTTCCTCTGACCAAGGTGACTTCTCGTGTCTGGGTCGGATCCAGTCCACCTTCAGCTTTCTTTATGCCTGTGCTCATGGAGCGACTATGGGTGTTACCGTGGCCCATTCCCTTGGCCACTTAATTGTCCCTGTAGTTAAGTTCCCATTTGCCTCCTAAGCAGTCATCTCGCTGCAGTTTATGGGGTGATTGCCCAGAAGTACTGCCTCTGCATGCATCCCTGTGTGCACCATGTCTGCATGCCCCTTTGAGGGGCTGGGGAGAGGAGGGAATGGCCCTAGATATATCTGATGCAGCCTGTAAGTTTGTGCTTACTCCAGCACTCGGGGGGCCACAGCTGCCACTTTCAGACAGCTGTCTTTATGTGCTGTCCCTGTAAGTCTCAGGTCTTTGCAGGAACCAGTTAATGGCAGTTGAACTGACAGCTTGTTTCTGGCACACCCATGTTTAGACCTAACTGCCCCCGTGACCTGTTCATTCGATTTCTTCCCGAGAATGAGGGATGCTAATCCTGCCTTAGTCGCTATGAATTCTTGAGCAGTGGGGCTGACCTGAGGCCAGCCAGCATCAGCTCCATGGAGATGGGAGCAAGGCCGTCTTGAGTTCACTAACCCGATGACGTTGGAACACAGGCAGTATGCCGACCTTGCACGCTGACTATGGGGCATGTGTGATTCATCCAGCAGGCACAGTCAGGGAGGGAGCAGCTGACTGTTGTCTTCTCCTCCCCTCGCAGCTCACCTCCAATGAGAAGCACCTGGAAAGCCTCAAGAACACTGGCAGCCTCCTGCGGGCCCTGGAGCACCTGGCTCCAGCTCACAGGTATGCGGAGTCAAGTGACTGCTCATGTCGGCAAACACTCAACCGTTTTTGTCCCCCATGTCCTCCTGTTATCAAGGGCCACCAGCTTCTCCACTGTAAGAACACAAGCCTGCTGGCGGGAGAGCATGGTAGTCAGCAGGAGTCTTGGCCCTGACCGAAGCACCAGGCTGCTTTCCTCAGCCCATCTTTGGGGGAACTACCCCCAGCAGTGGCAGTGTGGGGCTGCCCTGCCTCCTAGGCCTCACTGGGCAGTTTGTTGAGAACATCTGGGGAGTGAGGCCCACTGACTAAGGGTTGGCCTATCAGCCAAGGAGTATGTCACATACACTGAAGACAGATATGGTATCCCAACAGGATGGCACTTGCTGGACTGATAGCCAAGAGTGACAGGAACCCAACTTAGAAAGCAGGGCTATGGTTTACAGTTCCACCCATCAGTTCAGTGCTGCAGCCTGGCCAGGATAAGGCCCAGTGCCCCAGACCAGGGAGATAGCTCTGGTCCCTGCATTCCCTACCCTGGGGACGAACCACCTCCTAAGGGGAGACCAACCTTCATGGTATCTGGCATTTCCCGTGGTTTGTTTCAGAAATAGTGTGTCTGGGATTTGGGATCCACTTGAAGGAAACTGGCTGAGGCCCTGCAAGGGTGATGCCATACAGCAGCTCACACTCCAGTCCTGAAAGATTAGAGAAGCTGGCTTGGATGGTAGGGCCCTCCTCATCTGCTGGGACCCATTGTGTGAGGTACAGGCCAGGAACACCACTCAGTGCTCAGGGTGGCCAGACCAGTAAACCAGGAGGTCCTTCCTCCTTCCTGCCAGCCATGTGGGCCTCCACACCTGCTGAGGCTGTTTGCCCAAGAGACTAAAGGTAGCTTATTTTTGTGCTGGACTTCAATTTGGATCAAATGAGTCCAAAGGAGGCTTAGTGTTCAAGGCTTGTGCCCTCTCCACCCACACCCGGATGCAGGCAGTGTGGCCATGTCTGTCTGGGTTAGTTCAGATGTCCCCACCTGCAAGGGCTGGATAAGTGGGTGGGTGGCACTGCTTTGTGTAGATCTATCCCTCCTGGGAGGCTGGCCTTCCATCCATGCCAGCCCCTCTGGGGCTTTGGTGGGCAGCGTGGCCCCACAGGACTGGCCTGGACTCTGCCAGAAGCAGGCCAAGTTCAAAGACATTCCACCCCCCTCAGGGCCTTTGATGCGCAGAGCAGGAATGCAGGGCACTGTCCCACTGGCCTGCAGCTTTCATGCGGCACCCCACCCACCGTTCACTTGCTAACAGCTCTGTTTCCTTGCCTTGGAGAGCCACCCACAGCCTCACCTCCCCCTTCAAGGGGCTGCCCCCCCCTCAAGGGGCTGCCCCGACGCTTTTCTTTGCTCACAGCCTGGTTTACATGGGTCTCAACCCCAACGGTTTCTCTTTTAAGCTCCTAATTGTCCACTTGCTATTCCTAAGCAGTATCCCACAGTTCCTGGTGGACAAGGCCCACAGCGGCCAAGAGCGAGCACTGCAGAGCGGGAAGGGGCAGAGTGGGTGTGGAGAGGCTTGGGCTTGGGAGGCAGGCTGGCTCTGTCCGTCCAGGCTGGCAGGTGGTGCCCAGGGCCTGAGGCGGAGGCACAGCTGAGGCACTGATCAGCTGGGACTGTGGCACTGAGGCTCTCGATATGGGCTTTTCTGAGAACCAGCTGGTCTTTGAGGTAGGTGAGCTCAAGAGGCCCGCCCTGTTAAAGGGGCCTTTGACCCATATGTGCCTGTTAAACATGACCTCTCTGCTCTTCCACAGCTCGCCTGTTGACAGTGCCGTGGCTTCCTTGGCCCTAGAGCTCCTCCAAGCTGCTGGGCACTGACAAGGCCACCCAGTGGCTCCCGTTGGTTGCACTGAGAGGTCAGATCCCACACATCCCTTCCCACCAGCCTCAAGTGGAGCCAATAAAATCGTTGGGCCAGGACCTGGTGCCTCAGCCCTCTCTGACTGGGTGACTACCCTCGTCTTCCCTCGGGTGAGCCAGACCTCTGCAGCAGCTCCTGAGCAGCCTTCTGTAGGCCTCGCCACCCCCTGGTGCTCTATGGCCACTTCCTTTCCTTTCCAGGGACACGATCCCAAGAACTCTAGGGAGGCCTGGGTGAGACACATGCAGCAGTTCAGTGTGCAGGCCGGAGTGCGGAACACGGGAGTCCACCCAGCTAGAGGGGACGGCAGTGTCAAGGCAGATTTGCTGTCCCCACCCCCAACCCCCACCCCCTAACCTCAGACTTTACCATTTCTGCCAAGTGCTCAGAGTCAAGTCTGGTGGACGCTGAGGGAGGAGGGGTTGCTGTGTGGGGTGGGCCTGAGTCAGCACCGGAAGGTAGGGTGGGGCTTGGGCAGTTCCAAGCAGATGAGCTGGCTGAGGCCTCTGGAACAGCTTTGGACCAGGTTTCTGGCCCATTTGCTGCTCCAGGCTGCTTCTCTGGGGGAGGTGTACACAGCGGGACCATCCCCAACAGCAGTTAGCCCAGGGGTCCTACAGTCAGTGGCCAGCAGCCCTGCTGTGACGTGATCTGGGTAGCCTGCCAGCTCCATCTAGCCTCGTGATGAAAACACCAGCCGTCCCCTACCACATCAAAGGCAGCCATGCCAATTACCTTTAGTCTCCACAGCCACCTGCAAAGGCCTCAGCTTCCTCAGCCAGACCCTCCTCTTGCCTACAAGGATCCATGGCATAGCTGGATTCAGGGTTGACTCCACTGTCCTGAGCATCCCCAAGCAGGCCTTGGCTGGGGTGACAGACACGGAAGCACCAAGGACTTCATACAGCCAGAGGTGGTGTGTCGCCAGGCTGTAGTGTCACCAGGCTGTGGGCCAAGCGGTCCTGGCCTGGCTGCATTATGGACTCAAGTGGCTGGGCGCTCTGAGAGAGTAGGCCCAGGTCATCTCTCCCCGTCCCTTTGTTCGGTGCCTGAGCTCTGGAATCTTGCAGGGAACTGCTTCAAAGCGATGGGTTATTCCTCCTCCTCTGCCCTTTTCACCAGAACACAGAGCAATCTAAAACAGGAAGGCTTTAACACTCCAGAACATTCTGTTGAGTGGCTGGCTTACAGGCAAGGGGCCTGGTGGTGCGAAGCAGGGCTGCTGTCTTGCTAGAGGCTAGGCCTGCCAGGGCTTGCCCCTCCGCCACCACACACACACTTACAAATTCATGTTGGAGACCATGAGCAGGCTGGTTGGGGGAGAGAGCAAATACAACTGCTCCTATGAGCTCCCCTTCAAGAGAGCAGACATAGTTGGCCTTTCCCGTGAGCACTAGGATTCTGGTGGTGGCAAGTGGTCCAGACCTAGGTTTCTGCCTGCACCTCCCAGGGAGTCTCATACCCTAACTTCAGCAGCCACTAGGCACACATCAGTCACAGGGAGGTGGCTGTCTAGGCCTAACCTTCTCCCCCTCTACCAACAGCCCCCAGCTCAAGCCTTAACACACAGCCAGAGAGTAGGTGCTGGTTGTACTGTCCCTCAGGAAACGCTAGTGGGTAAAAATGGCCACAGCCAGCCTGGAGGATACCTAGACAGCCGTGGTGGCCCGCCTATGGGTGTCCGTCTTTGTTTCCTGCATGAACTCACAGGATATTGGGCTAACATTTTCCTATACTCTAGTCCAGAAAAGAGGGGCTCGGGTGGCTGTGGCTGCTGACACCGGACAGCTCACAAGACGCCCTTTACCACCTTCCCCAGGCACTGAAACACAGTGTGCCAATCAATCTCCCTGCTAACCCGCCATGGGTGCAGCAGACAGGACTAGCTCAAGTGCCTCCCGAGGGCCACACTCCCCAGTCCCTACTGTCATTTGTTTCTGCAGGTGCGCATGTTCGAGACCCCATACACCCCAAGGCCACCAGCCATGAATGCCTTGTCCTCTGCTCCATGCTGGACTCTCTCCTCAACGGCTTGCTTAGCTGCTGTGGTTCAGGGCTCTGCCGGCTCTGGGCCCTGCCCCACACAGACACAGGGCAGGGGCAGGTAGGGTTTCCACTGCTCATGCAGATCTCCTCTTTGGATACAAACGGTGCTGTTCCAGCCTAAGTTGTCTGTGCCTCTCCTTTTGAAAAACCACGCATGCCCTTCCCAGTGCACACGTGGAGACCAGGCCACTACTTTCTGGAATCAGTTCTTGCCTTCCACCTTGTTACCTTAACCCATATGGACTCTACAGACCCCAACTGGCATCTCTGTGAAGAAGGACTTCCTCACAGGGACCTCCTGTGGCTTAGAATGCTGGCTAACAGGCACAACCTTAAAACCCAGGAAACCAAACAGCTCTCAGGCACGAAACATTCTTTGTAGAGGACTCAAACACGAGTCTTAACAGGTCTGTGTAAGAAACGTACAAAGCCTGCTTGTCAGACCCACCACCAGGACAGATCTGGCAGGCTACATGGAAGGCAGCCCATTCTAGTTCTGATTATGTTTAGATAAACATTAGCATTTAAACATAATTACTGGTTCAAAGGAGTGGCAGGATTGCCCTCTCCAAGTCCAAGTGAGCCACACTCGCAAATCCAGGCATTGCTTCGTTACCGCTCAGTGGGATGACCCTGTCCAAAGGAGGGGCTTCTTTGCCTTCCAGCTTTAGTCACTGCTCAGTGTAACACAGAGACTATCGCGGGCAGCACACTTAGGTATCTGGGCAAGAGGGTGAGCTGAAGGAGTACAGGCTCCACAGCAGTCCTTCCAGGCTGACACACGCACTTCCTTCCTCTAGTGTGCCGGGTTTGGGTGTGGCGCTGCCAAGGGATGCTCCCGTGCAGACTCAGGCCTTCTCTACCCGGACAACCTGGGCACCCCGATGACACCACTTCCTCAGGGCAAGCTGGGTGCCTTCATTACCCTCACCAACCATCTCGTGACAAACAAATCAAAGTGACACAAGCGAATGAATTAAAAGTTTAATTCTGAACCATTTTTATAACCATTTTCTCTTGAAGCATTGTATCACAGCAGGTTACAACAACTTTGGGATAAAAGGCAACTGGTAAACTGTCCAAAACAAGGCTCAAATAACACCTCTTACTGATTTACCCTACCGCACGTATCCCCAATAAAGTTTTTGTTCAAAAACATGAAATAGATCCACCTGCTTATTTTAAGCATATTAAAAAGGAAACTAATCGGACCATTTCTATCTGTCTATTTATACAAAAGGCTACACAATGTTACACGTCTCCAGATTACGATTAGCGTGATTATGAATTAGTGTTCTACACCATTACTCAGTTCTTAGAAATCAGAAATTGCTGTAGCAGGTTCACTAGAACATAACACTACGAGACTTAAAACTAACAGTTACTGCAAAAAATAAAAGCTACTTCAAAGCAAGCAAAGTCAGTACCATTACAGATATTTAAAAAAAAAAAAAAACAAAACAAAAAACCAAGCAAGGCTAGGGTTTGATAACGCCATCTTGTGATCCATTCTTGTGCATTCTTCACTGCGTGAGTCACTCCCCAAATCCATTTGTATTGTTACTCCTCGACCAAAAAGGACCAGAACAAAAAGTTTACTTCGACTGTTCCCACAGGAAACTGAGCTTGGTTAGCGTGTCAGGCACTTTCTGAGATACCAGCCCACCCCTCGAGCCCTCTCAGCAACTCTACAGGCCAATCCCAATGCAAGGTCAGACAACACAGCTGTATAGAGAGAAAGGCTGCTATTAATGTTGAAAACAGCAAATGTTACTCGTCTGAGTAGAACGCTGCAAAAGCCGTGGCAAAAACATCAAAGTGAGAAACTTTCACACATGAACATCTCCTTCCAAGGTATGTATCTGTTTTGTGGCAGATTTACAAACAGGCCTAAAACCATTCCCACCCCACCAAGTCTTTCTGGAGTTCTGTAGGCAGAGTAAAGGATTTCACCCACACTGGCTTTATAAGCTGCTTACCTAAAGGACGATTTACAGGTCAGTATCAAACCAGGCCAGCTGATTGCTGTCACCTGGGGGCAGCCCATCCATGAGGTCCTGGGCATGTCCCAGATCTGGCAGCCCATCAACTGGATAGTCAGCACCAGGGTGGTGGCCACCCATCTCATGCTCCATCATAGGGTCCATCCCCAAGGCATCCTGGCCATATCCACCAGAGTGAAAAGAGCGGTAGCTGGGATCTGGAAGAGTCAGGGTGTCCACAAGACAGGCAAAGGAGAGACAAGTTAACCACGGTCAGGATGCCCAGAACGCTGCTTTCTAGTCTCCTCTTCCAAGCAATTACACAACACCGGGCCTCAGCAGCTCCAGACTACTACACACCAACAGCAGTCTGCCTTCAACATATTTACCCTCACAGAGCATGAGGCAGTTGTTAACTGAGCTTCACTTCCTGAGCGTGGCAGTCTCAGGAGACTGAGGAGGCCTACCTGGCAGGCAAACTGCCTATCACAGTTCAGGTGAGAAGCCAGAGAACTCCGCAGTTCCTTGGATAAAGCCTCTGGGACGGGGTGATGGCAGTAGCTCAATTAACCCTGCTCAATCTGGATCACTTTCCAGAAGGCTCTGATGGACCAGCTATGAATCACCCTTCCTAGACCCTCCCTTCTCCAAGACAAAGGTATGATGATGGGCTGTGTAACCAAAGAAGAAAAGCCAGGGGACAGCAAGGGCTGGCAGCATGCCACAGCCAAGCTCCACATGCTCTACTAAAGACACTGCTGCTAACTCTGGAATTCAGGGACCACCTAAGTGCAGCTACCACTTCCTCCAACCCAGGCTCCCTCCCAGATGAGGGGACCAGCCCTGTGGATAAAAGCTTTACAACATACCATCCTGGCGATATCCAAGTGCTTCTCCCTGGGCACCAATGTCCAGTCCAAGATCAGCCGTCTGCATGGGTACAGGACAGAATATAAATTTTCAAAACCACACTTGAGTGTTTATAAAAGTAACATCAAAAGACAAAAGAGCTCAAACTGCACATAGCATTAAAATGTCCACTAATTGATTCTAAAAGGACACCTACAATGCTGTTCCAGAGGCAGGGGTACAGCAATAAACACCCAACAGGCAGACTGCTCCGACACAGTGGACAGTGGGAAGTGGTTGGACTAGCACAGCAAAGCTGCCATTATCCAGACAAAGGAATCAATGGGAGCAGGTTTCGGACGGGGTGGGTGGGGAAAGTCAAGGGCTCAGGTCAGAACATGTTAAGATGCTTACAAATGCCTACTCAACACCCAGCTCTCACATTACTGTTTGGAACCTGAGATTGCATTCAGCAAGCACCACTTATTGAGACTATGTATGTACCCTAGTTAGGAACTACGGAGTGTCTAAAATGTACTTCTAGGGAAGTTTACCAGAAACCATGATTCAAAGAATAACTCTATAGAGGATGATTAAAAACAAAACCAAGGAGAAAGTATATGGAAAGCAGACTGTTAAAACCGACTCCCAACCACCTGCTCAGCAGACTACTTTCCTCCCACCCTTGAAGACTTCTATAGGCCCTTCTCACCTATGTTCCTGTGAGTTGTGAGGACAGGACTTGTTTACAAGCCCTGCAGAGCCAAATGAATGCACAGGAACAAGCACTGATTGCTTACCTCATTCCAAGCCATCGGCTCTGTCCTGAAGAGGGAACTGGTCAGCTCAACTGAAAGCCGTTTCTTGTAATCCTGTGGCTTGTCCTCAGACATTCGGAATAAAACAGCAGCTGCATAGGTTGCTGGGAAACGAAGACAGAGTGCCCTTCAGGACAGGTCCAGCACCAGTGCACATGGCAGTAACAGAGCTGGGTGGCTCCTCTACTTACCCACGCCTTCATTCCTGGAGTGGAGTAATTCTGTCAGGGGAGCTGTGGCTCCCTCAGCTTCAATGGCCTCTGCAGCCTCCTTGTCCTGAGCAAGTTCACAGAGGACCCCCGCAGCTACTCTTTGGATGTTTTCAATGGGGGAATAAAGCAACTACAGAGAAAACACAGGAACAAGACTCAAACCCGAAATAAAGCAAGGCATGGACCCAAATGTGGTACAAACTCGCCCAATGTGGAGTGTCAGCAGCACCTACTCAGCTGTGTTCCATGTCTGTGTTCACAGGAGAAGGCTACTCTGCAGTAAAGGACTCCCAGGATTGTTCTCAGCCAGGAACCTTTTCTTTGGGGGTGGGGCAGGGGGCGGGAGGAGGGCTATGCTCCGGCTCTTCCTGAGGCTCTAGGCCCAATGCTCCTAAGGACTTCTGGTCTGTAATCCTCTCAGTTTTTAGGGGCCTAAAGTCTAGAAGGCCCCCATCTGAAGTCAACGCACCTGCACAAACAGTGGAATGGTATTGAGTCCTCGGATTACAATCCGGTTGTGAACATCCCGAGCGAGGATGTGAAGAGCTCCGGTACAGCCTTCCACTATCTCCTCCATGCGGACACCCTCCTGGAAGGAGAAAGGCAATTAACAAGCTGGTACTCTCTTCCTCTAGTTCCTGAGCTCTAAGCAGCAGGTGCTACTATTCCCACTGTCTCCAAAGGTCCTCACAGCTCGCCCAGTGCTCAGGAAGGAATGGAGGGCTCCTACACTCTGAATATCACGAGGGCTCCTGGTAGCAGGCCTTTTCCCTGCACAGAGCCAGCAGCCCTCCTGTGCTCTATGGCTTCCGTATCTGCAGGTTCAATCAACCATGGATCAAATGCAGCCGCAGAAAGGCCTACACTGTGCCCAGAGCAACCTGCCCGGTCCATTAATCCTCAGCGACTCATTCTCGCTTCATTCCTGCACCCTACAGGGTTAGTGTGACCCGAGGGCAAACATAGGTACAATGTAAATACCGAAAAGTTTTGTGTAAGAGACTTGAGTTTCTGCAGATACAAACCCACGGACACTGAGGGATGGTGTGGGTTCAGCTTTCCCACGCTTCCAATCCCAAAGCCGGCTTTCTCACTGCACAGAAGAGCACCACCCACTCTGGGTAAGCCGCAAGTGAACACAGGTCATTCTGATGGCTCTTCCCACATGTCCCTCTATTTTTTTACATGTGTCTGGTGAAAACTTTACTCAGCTTTATTCCTACTGCTAAAATCCCAAAGAGCTGCCAGGAGAGTGCCCACTGCTTGTCTCTCCTGAGACTCTGTGTTAAGTACTATTTACTTTCTAATCTAGGACAGCATTATGACTCTGCTACTTTGATTCTGTGAAGACACATAAATTTCCTTCTTAGGCTGTAGGTGGCACCTTAACTATGAAGCCATCCTATGGAGAAGGGCCAGTGACAGGCACTGGAGAAATCAAACCCACACAACTACCAGCAGCAATGTGGCAGGGTTCGTCCTCTCTGTGTTCTCATGTGGGGGAAGAATGCGACAGAGTTGGATTCAAATATGGCTATTCCTCCGTGAGCACATGCATTCAAGGCCTAATCCCACAGCAGCACATTATACTCCATGTTTCCGTTTTAAGGCTGACCAGGGAAACACCACCAGAGCTTATGTCACACCCCTCTTCTCTGGAAACCAGAAATGGTCAGTTTTTTTCAGTCATTAGTAGCCCTTCAGAAAGGGGTGGGGGTGGGGGTGGAGACAGCATATGTAGATTATGCATTCACTCTCACACACCTCCAAATAGGCAAGTACCAAAGGTTCACCTACCACAAACTGCTGCTGTGTTCCACCCATGGAGGTGCGCCGCTGGGTGTCCTGATGGGCTCGAACAAGCAGCTGAACTAGTCGTGGAATAGCACCCTGCTCCCGCAAAGGTGCATGATTTGCTGGGCAAAGGGCAAGGTTTCGAATCAGTCCAACAGTCGCCTACACAGAGGAAGAATTGGTATACAACACAACCAAATCACAGGCAGCACTGAGTACACAAACACTTGGGAATCCCGCCACCTCCTCCTAGCCATCTGTGCCAACAGACAATCCCAAGTTACAAATGCCCAGCAGTCCACTCACTTCCCATGCTTCCCACCCTGCTCTGACAGTTCACCTTTATCAGAGGCCAGTGGGACGGTGGGTGCAGGAGTTTAACCACAACAGGTAGTCCATAGTGAAGGCGAACGGCATTCTGTGCCATCTCAGCTTCTTGATGCCGGCTGGTCAGATGGCGGAGAGCACAGATGGCAGGCTCAGTAATGTCCTCCCTGTCACCAGCACGAAGGACAGTGCGCACGAGAGCCTCGATACCACCTACTTGGCACACCATCATCTTGTTCTTGTAATTATTGCAAGTGAGGTTAGAAAGAATTCCGGCTGCACAGGTGACCACATTTATATCATCTGAACCCAGAAGCTGCACGAGAGTCCCAAGGAGACCTTCCATCCCTTCCTGTGGAGAAAAAAACACGCTGAGTTCAGGGCTCACGGAGACCCCAGCACCAAGACAGCAGCGTCTGCAGACAGTACCTGTTTAGTTGCAGCATCTGAGAGATTTCTAAGAGTCCAAAGACAGTTCTGAACAAGTCGCTGACTCGGATCT